GTTAGAGACTGTTGTGAGCTACCATGTGGAAGCTCAGAGCAGGACCAGGGCATCCCTAAGAGCAGCGAGTACTCTGAATGGCCAAGCCATCTCTCCAGGCTCTGCCTGTCACATGTGTCAGTCATTATGTTCTTCATGCATGGTATTTCCCCACATTCTACCTCATTATCACACAAGGTGATAAAAGGAGAAATCAAGTTTCTCTTGCAAATAAATTCTAGAACATATTCACCTCCAGAACCAGGCCACTTTATGACACAACTGGCTACAATTACTAATGAAGATGCAATCTACAAAGTGCCAGAACATCACCTTTCTTTGCAACTTGGGACAGCAGTTTCTTCAGGAGGAAAGAATTACTAAGAATTACTGAAAAGAAAAAGTTGAATCCCTCTTTCAAGTAAAGGGCTATGGTACCCCTTCTTTCCATGGAATTGTTAAATTTACTTAAGTAGAAAAGCATCAGATAAAACCTCCCCTTCCTTATAGTATTAAAAGGCACTTTCAAGAAATATTTAAATGTCCTTTACATATTCATGTGTCAGTGAGAAACCAAGTAAAACATCAAACTACATGACTAGATTTTCATTTTTATTAAACGAAAACGATTTATTGCAACTTGACTATATTTTGTTATTTCATTCCCTCGAATCCTTACGAAAAGGAAGATTATTAGTCTCAGATCTTTAATTCAGCAAACTCTGTCCCATAATCCCATAATGACTCAATTTCTTAGCTGCTTTCTCACAATTTCTCTTACAAAAGCCTTATTTATCTCTCTCACTTGGAAAATATAATCTCCGGTGCACTTCAGAGCCAATCAATCTCCCTGGTTTTTATTTTTTTTTCTTTTTTATAATACAAGAAACTGTGAGGAATGTTCTCACAGATTCAAATGAAAGGCAGCAAGTAGAGGCAAGGAGAAAGCCTTCAAAATCTGTAAACTATTGACACCCCTCATAAGGTGACCTTTGCTTCTGAGGCCTGTCTTCAGGTGCAATGATGCAGCCTCTTTCCTGAGCAGATCAGGCACATGGGCAGCCCGGCTCTAACAAAGTTGTAGGATGGATTAGCGAAAGAAAGACAGAAGACAGGATTCTTTTTATAACCTCACCTCTGCTCTCTTTTGAAAAGCTGAGAAATATCAAAGCTAAGCTGTTTTCCCTGCTGGTACCCAGAGAGCAATTATCTTGTCTTCCACCTGCCTCCTTGGAACAGGTCTTACAATAGTTAAGCAAGGGGTTCATACATCATGCCAATCAAATCACCAAGTGAGCTCACTTCTTGTTAGAATGTATAAAATGGAAATACCCATAGACTCTAAATATTATTCAAGAAATAAATTTAGAGTCCTTCTCCTTTTCCAATCCAAATACTATCTCTGCGTTAGTAAAAAAAAAAAAAAAAAAAAAAAAAAAGAATTTAGATAGTTTATGGTACTCGGCCATCACTGGGAAATAGGAGCCAACAGTCAACATGATTGCAATCCATCAAACGTATTTATGATCATAAGTTATTTAAGAGTGGGAATGATGAATTCCTGTGCTGATCAAATCCATCATTATTGCCAACCATCAACACCCACACAAGCATGCAGGTGCTGTGAACCTCTTGACTTTCTCCATATTTTAGAAGTTTCTTAAGTCAAGATACCACAAAGCATACACTCTTCTAGAAATACAGAGAGCCAATTTGAAAATCACAATCACAAAAGAAATGAAATGATTTTGTGTCATAATTTTTTAACAGGGATTAGCTTATGGCATCTACAGAGGCAGCAATAAATACCTCCTGGGCTCTGTTCTAGCCTCTTGGTCTCCAGGCGGACTCAGTTATTTATTGTTTTGGAACAGACTGTGACCCTTTTCATTTTATCTGTGACCATAAGAGGACACTCCAAACAGCATTAGATAGGACAGAATCCAAGCAGATATTTATTTAAATTCAAGTTTATTTGTTATTTTGTTTTCTGGAAATCATGAAATTAGTGCTAATATGGGTCGAAGAGGACAGGCATGGCTTCTATCCTTTTCCATCAAGCATGACCAAGTTTAATTGCATGCTTAAAAGAACAGAGAATAAAGGCTACACAAAATAAAGGCTGCCTCCTGGAGGGGTGGCCCTCTCCCAGGAGCTTACTCAAGTTGTATTTTAACAGCATGAACTTCCATGGGTGCATGACCAATAGAGAGGGGATGTACCAGGGGGAGTGCAGATAAGTTCCTTATGAATATATGTTGAACCCAAGTGCTTGTTTCTTTTACTTAAAGAGGCAACAGATATATTCGTACTCAGGACACAATTTCTCCCCTTGATTGTTTGAATTTTCATTTTCCAAATAAAAATAATGAACAATAATAGCACTTCGTCTTCGATGTGCAGGCCTATTGCATTGATCATTAACACTGCAGAGAGGTGCCGATGTGCTTTGAACAAAAAACGCTACTATTGAATTAGTATAGTGCGCATGATAACTGGTGCACAGACTTTTGGGTTCTGTGGTGTTTTCAGTATTGCAAGGTTGCTTCCTGATGTCAGAAAGTAGTATTAACTCCTCCATTCATCTATACTCTTTCTGGACTGAGGTAAGTTCTTTCTGAGAACCTGGAAGACATTCCTAACATGTAAATCAGCTTCATTTTTGCAATTTTTATTACTTGTGCTGCTTGATTTTTCAGAACATTCTTGGGAAACTTGAGTTTTAAACAAACAGAAGAGTGTAAGAGCCAGAGGCAGCAGATGACTGCAAGAAAACCTTCTTCTAGAAACTGCAGGACAGCTGCACGTGTGGACTCACAGCTGTGATAGCACACGACATGTGCAAACCCAAGCAAGGCTGAATCCCGGGATACACACCGGAAACAAGCACGAAGTTCCACCCTCACAGAGGAGCTCTTGATAATTCTTAACCACAGTGAGAGGAAGTATATAAATTTCTCCAAGGGTGTAGACCCAGGAAGTCTTCCAGGTTTCAGTGGAGGGACCTAACTTCCAAGAACTGGGCTGCACTTAATGAGCAAAGGAACAGAAAGTTGGCTGGCAGTGAGCCTGTGAAGGGGAAAGGGGAAAATGAGCAAATGCTCTGTGTGAAATTCTCAAAGAACTATAAAAATGAATAGTGAATGAGTGTATAAATATGGAAAGCAGACAGTTCTCAGTCTCTAACACTAATATAACTGGCAATGGTTTTTAAGCAAATCTCAAACAACACAATTATCTGTATTCAGACAAGTGTACGTGAAAGAGAGAAAGAAGGAATATGCTAAAAAGAAACTTCATCAACCATGCATTGAAAAGAAATGAAACTGCAGTCATCCAATGACCAAAGGTAATCTGATGGCAAATTCATAATTTATTTAATATTAAAAAACATAATATGCATTGAAAACATCCTGATTTACTTAGACTCCAAATACCTTAGAGGAAGGTTAAATATATATTAATATCATGTGTTTACATCATGAGTTGTCACTACACACTTTTTTCATTCTTTCATTGCTCATGTTTTCAGAAAGCTATGTGCAATTTATTTAGTTTTTAATAACAGAACAAATTCTTAGCCACTCCATATTTTAATAAACACTAAAAATCAATTGACATGATGTAATGTCCTCTCATAATTAATGTGATGTTTTCTTTAATAAATAAGCTGCAGAATGTTAATAAAAGGAGTCTTTCCACTGCAAAAAAATAAACATCAAAATCACAAATCACCCAGCCAGTAAATAGGCTAGCAAACTGAATAGGCAGCTCTCAACAGGAAAAAATATAATGGCCAGTAAATGTTTGAAAAGTGTTCGACATCATTAGGAGTTAGAGAAATGCAAATTAAAGTCGCTTTGAGATTTCATCTCATTCCAATAAGAACGGCCACGACCAAGAAAACCAGCCAGCAACAATGAGTCTGGGGTCTTGGGGAAAGAGGGACTCATATCAGTTTTCTTTGAGGGTGTCGACCCAGCAAATCCTCCAGGTTTCAGTGGAGGCCGTAACTTCCAAGAACTGGGCTGCCCTAATTGGCCTTAATGAGCAAAGGAACAGAAAGTTGGCTGGCGGTGAACCTGTGAAGGGGAAAGGTGAAAATCGGTGTGAAGGTTTCAAAACAGACGTATTAACCATATATCTAATTAAAAAAAAAAACTATAAATCACCTAAGTCCATGTATAAGTATACATAAGTATACGTGTAGTTTAAATAAAATGTTCTCATCTGACCTGACAATGTTTCTTCCCAGAGTAAAAGACCATCTAACAGCAACCCTAACACCAAGCATGAGAAGACCTTGTTTGAGCGGTTGGTCAGGATTTTCCAAGAGACTCCCCGAATATTGCCATTGTCCTTGGTACCTTCCCTGAGGTGGAAGGTAAGTCCCTATTGCTGAAAACACCATGAACTTCACACAGGACCTGGAAGCCTCTGAGCTGGAACTGACCTGAAAACCTCCTCCCTGGGTACTAGCTTTTTTTTTTTTTTCCTGAGGACACATTTCGTATTTTATTTACATTTTAAGTCTAATTTTAATCTCAAAATCACATATCCATACACCTATTTCCTTTTCGTTGACTTCACTTAAAACTTCTAAGCATGTTTTATTACACAAAGACTGTAAACAAATTATCATGTCTGTTACATGTAATAAATGAGAACAGCTTAACAGAAATTCATCAATACCCCCAAACATCTTTTTATAAATACAGGTATCAAAGCAACCCTGAACCTATTTTTGATACTAGTAGTGGTCAGCACCCACACCACTTTACAAATTGACACAATTTGTGATTATTCATTATACCTGCTACTTTAAACAATTCCAACTGCAGCTCTAAGTATGATGGATAAAGCATGCCATTTCTGTTCTTCCTTCTTGAGACTTTAACTTTTCACAACAACAAAGGTGTCCATGGCCATCTGACACTCCTTTGCCATGCTTCTGTCTTGAAAACCTAAATTCAATTTGAATATTTCAGGTTCATGTTTAAATGACATGCTTTAGGTAGAGAAAGAAAAATGGTGCTGCACTTGTTACCTGAAAACATAATAGGTGTACATATATTAAATATATTCTTACAACTGTCCAGGTCATGTTTACCAGCTGAAATTCTTTTACTTAATGTGTGGGTACTTTGCATGGTGATACTTAATCAAAACATTAACATGAGTAGAAGGTTGTTGATTTAAGACAAGTTTGAGATCCACTATTAGTTGTTGTATGTCTGGTGGCTGTGGAAGCTTCATATTTTCTTTGGACATCATTAGGCGTCTTAGCTCTTGAGGTACAACTTTAATGCTATAGGAGTTTTGCCATTTTGCTAATACTGGTATGCTCCGTGCATCCACCATTCCACTGGAACTATTGATTCCATTCATATTAATTTTTGTTACAAATCTAACTGATGGAGGAGCTTCTGGGTATTTAGATCCACATTCTACTTTCAGGCTATATATTCTGTTTTCATAGTTTGTCCTTGGTGGCCCAATAATCATGCCTGTCCACCTTGTAAGTGTCATGTCTTCATCATCTTCAAGGCCCCAGCTAACCGTACCATCACCTACTCCTTTCTGTCCTTCTTCCAACAAGCGAAAATTACGAGGAACTTTAACACCTGTGGAGACCGCCATCTTCTCCTGCTCTGGGTACTAGCTTTTAAGACACAAGAAGGCACAATGAAAGCTTCCAAAACAGTAAAGCATCCACACAGCCTTACCCAGCTGTGATGCCCATGAACCATAAGAATGACCAGCGTGGCATAATAACCCAAAGGGAGCAGTAGTGGTGTGCATATTTTGTCAGTAACTGAATGCTATCTAATTAAACATAAGACCTGCTCAACAAGAAGGAAATTAAACCTGATACTGAAAACCTTACCAATTGCCCATGGCTGGTAAAATTATGTATTCTGGAGATGAACCTACAAGCACCACTTACTAAAGTGAATGTTCTCTAACTACATTAAAAATATCCATCCTCATATCCACAAGTGCACCCCTCAACAGGGAAACTTCTCTTTCACACAGATGGAGACCATTACAGAGAACCACAACCAATCAAAGAGTTTGAAACTCAGTTCCAATGGATACATCTACAAAACACTCCGCTGCTTAATGCTCAGGGGTCACTGTGGAAGAAGGGGCAGAAGGACTGTAAGAGCCAGGGGTAGAGAGTTTGCTGTGAGATTGTGTCTCCTAGGACTGCCAGAAGCTACACCTCTCACCGACATGACTGTTTAAACATGCGCTGAATGGAGGCAACAACAATAGACATGCAGAAGTGGATAGGGAAAAGCCCACAAGGCCTCAACCCTGAGCATGGATCCACAGGCAAATTAGGAATGCTGAGAGCAGCAGAAATAGTCTTCCCCAGTAAAGAGAGCACTGATCGGTTATCCAATAGCAAATGGTCAGCCCTGAAAATATACATACAAGTAACGCTGTGCAGACTGACCAGGTTGTATTTATGAATTTATGAATGTGTGTGTGTGTGTGTGTGTGTGTGTGTGTGTGTGTGTGTGTGTGTG